GTTCGAGTCTTGGTCAGGGCACATACCTGGGTTGTGGGTTTGACCTCTGGTCGGGGCACATATGTAAGGCAACAATGTTTTTCTCTCTCTCTCTCTCTCTGCCCCCCCCCCCTTCCTCTCTCTAAGCATGTCCTCAGCTGAGGATTAAAAAAAAAAGTATAGCCCTGGCCGGTTTGGCTCAGTGGTTAGAGTGTCAGCCTGCGGTCCAGAGAGACCCGGGTTTGGTTCCCGCTAAGGGCACGTACCTCGGTTGCAGTTTGTCCCCAGCCCTGGCTGGTCATGCGGGTGGCAACCACTCGATGTGTCACTTTCACGTCAATGTTTCTCTCTCTCTCTCTCTTCCTCTCTCTCCCTCCTGCTCTATCTGAACAAAAACTGAAAAAATGTCCTCGGGTGAGGATTAAAAAAAAAAAAGTATAAAAGATATCATATCACTTGTTGAATGAAACAAATTTAAAGTATACAAAGTATTAGTCGAGTTTCTCTAGAGAAACAGAATAGGAGACAGACAAAAAGATAGACACATAGATAGATAGATATTGTCGGGAATTAGCAAGTCAACATTTGGAAGGTGGACCTGCAGGCTGGAGACCTCGGAGAGCTGTTTCCACTGGAATCCAGGGGCTGTCTGTTGTAGACCCAGGAAGAGCTCAGGTTGCAGACAAAGCCTAAGGGCCATCTGCTGGTTCTCTCTTGCTGGGGGAAACACAGTCTTTCTGTTCTTTCCTGGCATTCTCCAGGTTGGGTGTGGCCCTCCCACGTTCTGGAGGGCTGTCTGCTTACTCAAAGTCCACCAAGTTAAGTGTTAATCTCTCCCCGAAACACCCTCACAGAAACATCCAGACTAACGTTTGATCAAATGCCTAGGCTCCCTGTGGCCCAGCCAAGGTGCCACATGAATCATCACACTGAGAAAAGTGAAGAATGAAATGTCATGGATGTAAGACCACTTATACACGTCCAACGAGAAGAGAGATGTCTAGAAGGAGGTCACAAAAACACTAAGAGTGGTCACCTCTCAGAGACAGGCGCGCGGGTTCTTTTTACTCCTTTGTACATTTATGTATTGTTTCATTTTTCTGCGTAATGCGTGCTATTTCACCTTTTACCAACATCACCATCATTATCGGCTTGACAAAAGCAATCAAGTTTTTAAAAGAGGCTTGATTGCCTGCATCCAGCAGGGGCTGTAGGAGTGTCAGAATACTGGCACACTTCCCCAAGAGGCCGGCTGACCGAGAGCTGGTTCAGAAAGCCCGAAATTCTACTGGTGAAGTTTTAGTCTGCAGATGTAAGAGCTTTCTTTCCTCTTCAAATGCGAATCGTGGCAAAAGATATATTGCTTGAAGACGTGTCTGTTTTATAACGATGGAGTGATTAGATCTGACTTTTTTCCTAAGAGCACACAGTGAGAACTGGAGAATGATGTGTGGCTGAGGGACATCCAGGAGATGCCAGGAATGGGGCAGCTGTGGGCACAGAGGGCGGCGGCTGCAGACAGTAAGAATCAAGCTCACCCACTGCAGCCTGATGGGAGATTATCCAGAGAGTGTGCAGGAAGATGTTCCTAACCAGGCTCCCTGAGCTCCCCACTGTCCTGGCTCTCCATGAAGCTCATCCAGGTGGAGTGGATGGTGAGGGCAACTCTTCACGTACTCTTTAAACAGAAACAGTGAGGATGGCGATGTGGGAATTTGTGGTGAGAAGTCCCACTCAGATGTTTCTTTGCAGGAAAGTATCTGCCACATGGCAGCAAAGGAAGAAGCTCCTCTTGGATGACCCACTGCTCTGGGCAAATAAACCCCTGAAACAATTTATGAGAGTAAACTCAACCAGGAGGACTCATTCATTCTGAAATGTACACTGAATGTGGCCATTCTGCAGGCCATTAACTCTGCTAATTACACCGATTCAGGAGGTAAGCCTTCACTAACGTTTTATGAGGCTCCAAGGACCCCTACAGCATGACGGGCATCTCCCTCCCTCCCCTGGCTCCCCCAAGCAGAGGGAAAGAAGGAAAAAAACGAATGTTTCCTGAGCATTTGCTATGGGCCCAGCTCCACGTGTGACAGCTCCACAGCCCCTTAGAGGTAGGGACTGTCATACAGTTTAGGGAACTGAGGTTCGGAGGATGACTGTGTCCAAGATTAAACTGTAAATAAGTAGTAGGGCTGGGATTGGGGGATCTTCTGGCTTCAAGTTCAGTGTGCTCCTTCCTGCTCCTGCAGTTTCTTCTTACCAAGTAATTTAGAAAAAAAAAATAACAAGAACATCAAACAAATAAAATAATAGTTTCTCAGTACTTTCTCTGTTAGCCGTCTGTTCCCTAGAGTTCTAACCAGCACACTGGATGTTTAACGTGTTTCAGATTTACTAGGATGAAACTCCTAGAGGACAGCGAAGAGTGTGGTCTCTCTGAGAGTCCCTACGACACTGAGCAAAGACCTGGCAGAGTGGTTACGTGAATGGGCTTCGGTGCAGGATGCTGGACGCTGCGCACAGGTTCACGCCCAGGCTCTGCTACCTAACCTCCCTGTGCCTCCATTTCCCGATCTATGAAATGGAGATGATCATAACAGTACCTGCTTCACAGTGGCATTAGGCAAATTAAATGAGTTAATGCGTACTTGCAAAAGATTTAAAATAGTGTTTGACACGTGTAATCACTCAATAAACGTTAGCTCTTTGTGTGTCCAGGGACTTCCCAGAGCCTTGATTTTCTCAGCCTGAGTTCTTCCTGGTGCAAAGGAGTTAGGTACAAACTCATTCCTCCGCTCCCTCATAAAATGCTTAAGAATCTCATAGTGTGCCATTGTTTGGAAGCAGTTTTCACCCATGATTCCCCGTGATCATAACTATATGAGTCGGTGCTCAATAAATATTTGATGATTGAATGAAAGCAGAAATTTCAGAGACTGAGTTACGGAGAGCAGTAAAATCTTGCCCAAGGTCACCTGGGGAGATGGCAGTACAGCTCGGGCTTTCTGACAAAGAATCAATGTGCTTGCCCCTACCCTCCCTCCCTCCCACAAGGGTTCAGTCCCCGAACAGTCACCCTCCCCTATCTACCTCCACTGGTTTCTCCCCTGCCCGAGCTGTCTCTAATTCTAGTGAACTTGAAATTCACTGGTCATACAGAAAGCATTTTATCTGACCTTCCACATGCAAATTCTTTCCAGTGGGATTTCTTGGTGTCCAGCTCCACCCCAGCCCACATGGCCATAAACACTCGTGTGTCTGCAGCCGGGCCCCAGGGATTCCAGAAATAACAGCAGGGCCCTCCATTCGAAGGCTGGGACATAGTAAGGCATTTCTGCATTAAAACATAGGCCCTTTCCAGCCCAGGCCTCTCCTGTCTGTCAAGACACAAAGCAACCTTTGCAAGTCAGGACAGGGAGGGGCAGCTGGGAGGGAGTGTCGATTTCTGGAAAGTGAGCACCTCCTGCTATCTGTCTGCACTCAGATCTTCCTGTGCTAGAGATTCCCCGGATCGGCTCTGGTCTCCACTTAGAGTTTGAAATTCTTTCTCAGCTGTAGCTTTCTTAGCTTCAGTGACCGGTTCTCCTTCGGTTGTGCTGGAACTGGAGTCATGGCAGTGTGAGCCCCGATGGCAATTTTCACCTTACACAAAGGCCACTTTCCAGACACCCAGGACAGTCACCTTATTTAGGGTAGGGCTCTGGGGAAGTGCCAGGGAAGAAGCAAGTGGCTGGAGGCGAGTGTCTGGTTTAGAAAGGACAGTGCCAGCGATGACCCTATATAAAAGGCATCAGGGACAATCCTTCTCACATCCAAGGGTGTTCGCTAGGAGAAAGTCGGAAGTCAACATCCAGGGAGCGTTTAGCTTTTCAAGTGTCCTCTCACAAATAATACCAGAAAATAAAAAGTGGGTACACCTAATGCAATGATGTGGGGACACCTAATGCTTTTTTAGATGCATAACCTGGAAAGGCCAGAAAGAAGTATAAAAGCAGTTTTTTGGGGGGCAGGTGGAATTAATGGGTGTTTTTCTCCAAATTATCCTTAATGTCATTTCTCATTTTAAGGAAAATCATGAGTCCTGGCCGGTGTAGCACCAAAGGGTCACGGGTTCAATTCCTGGCCAGGTCCAGGACCATGCCTAAAGCCACCAACTGATGTGTGTCTCTCACACTGATGTTTCTCTGTCTCTGTCTCTCCCACACCCTTCCATTCTCTCTAACATTTAATGGGAAAAAAAATCCTCGAGTGAGAATTAACAAAAAATAAATAAAGAAATCATTGCCAGAGAGACCTGCCTGGACTTTCTTGGGGTATTTTGCAGGGGGATTTCGGGTTTTAGGTGCCCGTCGGAAAACTTGAATTTATCATGTAAAAGCCACACGTAAGCCACTTTCTCCAGGAGCTAATTCCTCTCGAATGGAAATGGGATTATCTCTCATTCGCGGCCCCAATCGGAACGTCATTAAAGGCTGGGTTCCGTGTCCTGCGCTCCAAAGCTTTGTCACGAATAGGAAGGTGAAGGAAAGAAAGGCGCTTGTGCAACAAAACAGCCGATGGTGTCACCCTCGCAGGCCGGGCCTCGCCAGAGCCGCAGCTGCATTAGTGCACAAGATGCAGTGCACCCTCTGCACCACGGCTGCGGCAGGGGACGCGGCCGCCGCCGGCGATGTCGTGCCAGTCTCCGGCTCCCGTGCCGCACCCACAAGTGCCAGGGATGGCGGGGAGGATAAGGGGAGATGGTAACAGCATCGCAATGGCAACAGTGACGTCCTTTTACCCTGGATCTAATTGGAGGAAACCCCGTGGCCAAAGCCGCAGCCTGCCGGCCAACCGAACTTACCCAAGCCGACCCACCCTCCGAGCCTCCGCTTCCCCGCCCGCCCCGCCCCCTTTGCCCCCTTCCGCGCGCTCAGGCCTCATTGGCCGGCGGCGGGGCGGGAGGCGGGACTCTCCAGGGCAGCTCGGCACATCATTGGGCGGCAGGAGCGAGGGCAGCCGCTCCGGGGCCCGCCCCTGGCTCCGGGGTAGGCTGAGACGGGAGGGTCCTCAGCTAAAGCCAAGAGCGGATCAAAGTGGTGGGACTCGCGCCGCGGCCGCGGAGACGTGAAGGTGAGCCTCAGGGTCGTCCCCGGCCCTCCGCGGGCCCGGCCGAGCCTGCGGGCAGGGTGGGAAGCCGGCCCCCGGGAGCGGCCGGCCTCGACGCCGCGCTCCTAGGGGCCGTCCGGCGGGAAGGTGCGAGCCAACGGCCGCTTCCATCTTGGGCTGGGCCGGGCGGGCGCGGGAGCGGCCCTTCCTCCTCCTCCGCCTCCTCCTCCTCCTCCCGCCCCGGGCCGCCTCCGCCCGAGCCCCTCCGCGTCCCGGGCGCCCCGCGGGGAGCGTGGGCGGGGGAGGGAAATTCAACTGGGCCGCGCGTGCGGGGACAGACAAAGGGGGCGGCGGCGGCGGGCGGCCCGGGCGGCGGGCGCATTGTCTGACGGCGCCGCCCCCGCCCCTGCGCCCGCGCCCCCGCCCCGCCGCAGGCCCTCCGCACGCCTCCTCCGATCCGGGTCGGTGCTCGCCCTCGCTCTCCTCCCCGTCCCCATGGAGAAGACGGAGCTGATCCAGAAGGCGAAGCTGGCCGAGCAGGCCGAGCGCTACGACGACATGGCCACCTGCATGAAGGCCGTGACGGAGCAGGGCGCCGAGCTGTCCAACGAGGAGCGCAACCTGCTGTCGGTGGCCTACAAGAACGTGGTCGGGGGCCGCCGGTCCGCCTGGAGGGTCATCTCGAGCATCGAGCAGAAGACCGACACCTCCGACAAGAAGTTGCAGCTGATTAAGGACTATCGGGAGAAAGTGGAGTCCGAGCTGCGGTCCATCTGCACCACGGTGCTGGTGAGTCCGGGGAGCCGGGGCATGGGGCGCCTGGGCCGCAGACGCTCTTTTGTGTGTGGTCTTCCCGTGGGGAGTCTCACGGGCACGGGACAGAAATGCGGGCCGGGGCGCACCTAATGGTCTGGCGATGTAGCGGGATGGAGACGGTAGCTTGACCTCCTTAGTGGGTTATTTCAGGGGAGACTCAAGAGGCCGCTTTTCCAGGGTGAGTAGATCTTTTCCCAGGTTGCTTCGCACAGCATCACTTGGAAGCGTCCAAGCGGGTCTCCCCAAGACCGAACGTCGTTTTTAAGCATACTGAGGCTCTCTGGGAACCCTGTAAATGTAATTAATCAGTTCGTGGACTCCAGGCTTCGGTTGGGAGAAGGTACAGGCACCTTTGCCATAGGCGCAAATGTATGTATGCGGTTTTCCTCCCAGACCTAGTGATGGAAATTTACTTTGAAAATCCAAAAGGACGCTATCTTTCAAGTAAGAGTAGCGGTTGAGCTTTATCCCTGTTGGAGGGGTGGGGGGGCAGTTGGGTGAATGTGAAAAAGACACCGCTAAATCTAAAGAACAGAATTGCCCGGGTAAGTTTCACCGTTTAATAACGTTGCCTCGATTCCTCTCTGGTGTGGAATAGGCGAGGGAGGCTTTCCAGGTTTCGAACTGTCCCGACTTAGCAACGGCGGCTCTTGGGTGGAGTAGGTGAGTGCTGTGATTCACCCTTATTAGTGAGAGAGAACATTTTTAGCTTTGTCATTGTCTGGATCTTTTGATCAAAGATACGTTTTTAAAATTTCAATACCAGCATAATATCCTGGAGTGTTTCTACCAATAAAATATGAAATGTACAGTCGCGCTTTTTTAAAATGCCACTTTACAAGAGGTCTGATATTTGATGTGTTTGTTCCTCGTTGCAGTTTAGGTGGACAAGATGCTAGATTGGTGATTTTTCACGAGGGAATTGAGAGGGAAGGGCTTTCTCTCCAACCTTCTCTTCCTTGCCCCATCAGATTGGTGAGGCAGGAATTTTTTTTAAAACTTCTTTAACCTCTTTTTCCAATACAGTAAATAATATGTGATCGGAACAAAATCATGGTCGATGGAAACAGCTGGTAAAGGGGCAAAGAAAGCAATGGAGAGTGTACACCAAGTACTTTATTTGGAGATTATTTGCTTTAGTTATAGTCATCTATATTTTCTTAGCTTCCACTACCTGCCTGGCATAGAGGCACTTATAAAAACTTTACAGACTTGCTTGTGTTCACAAAATTTATGTGGTAATGCCTGGTGACAACATTGAGTCTTTTATCAAAAGAAGACACAAGAATTCCATAGTTAATGAGAAGCTTTTCTAGATTTGTAGGGGGGTTCCCATAGCATATTACAGCCTCTTTCTATTCAGTGATTACTTTGCAGTTTGTAACTTGTAACTTACCCTGCAATAACTCTGAATTACCACAAATTTTTTCCTGTTCTCTAGCAAGTTTATTCTGAGCCAAAGGAATGTTTGTTTTAATCTGTGGCTCTTATAAATTTTAGTTTCTATGGTGTTATAAGTGTAGGAGAGTTTTGCTGAATTACTTGAAAAAGAGACCAGGTGTATTAGAGTAGACCGTTCAAAGCAGTGGTTCTCAACCTTTTAATACAGTTGCTCGACCCTTTAATACAGTTGCTCGTGTTGTGGTGACCCCCCACCATAAAATGGTTTTCGTTGCTACTTTATAACTGTAATTTTGCTATTGTTATGTCTTAGGTGACCCCTATGAAAGGGTCGTTCGACCCCCCAAAGGGGTCGCAACTCACAGGTTGAGAACCACTCACACGTTGAGAACCGCTGGTTCAAAGGGATCGTTTCAATTCGAGAGCTCCCCTGAAACTTGGGACAATTTTTTTTTTTTAATGCCAAGTAAAATAGAAGAGTTTAACTTGATTAATCTGAGGCATAAGTTAAGATACTTTTTATTGCTCTTGCCGGTTTGGCTCAGCCGTTAGAGTGCCGGCCCGCGGGCCGGAGAGTCCCGGGTTCGGTTCCCAATTGGGGCATGTACCTCAGTTGCAGTTTGTCCCCGGCCCTGGTTGGGGTCGTGTGGGTGGCAGCCACTCAATGTGTCTCTCTCACATCAGTGTTTCTCTCTCCCTCCCTCTCTCTCTTTCTGACGATAAATGCAAAAATGTCCTCAGGTGAGGATAAAAAAAAAAGATACTTTATATTGGTAAAAAGGCTTGAGTCTAACCAATGTGTCTCATGATATTTCTCTCTCTCTCCCCGCCTCCACTTCTCCCTTCCACTCTAAAAATCAGTGGAAAAGGTATCTTCAGGTGAGGATTAACCAAAAAAAATAAATAAATAAAAACGTCCTAGGAAAGGCCATCTTCCATTTGCAGTTGTATTTGAGAGTTGAGTGTGCAGGGCACTGCTCGGATATGCAGCGTGAGGAGAAACAAAGCTGAGAACCATGCTGTTTGTCCTGCAGTGATTTGTAAGGAGTGCATGTGAGACATACACAAATAATGTAATCCCCTTGAGATGGTTTTGAACAAGCTATATGTAGTTTTAAAGAAATAAAAACCTCAGGAAAGCCCTGGCCGGTGTGGCTCAGCGGTAAGAGCGTCGCCCGCGGACCAGAGAGTCCCGAGTTCGATTCCGGCCAAGGGCACGTCCCTCGGTTGCAGGTAGTCCCCGGCCCCGGTTGGGGTTGTGCGGGTGGCAGCCAGTTGATGTGTCTCTCTCACATCGATGTTTCTTTCTCTGTCTCTCTCCCTCTTGCTCCATCGGAAGATTAATGTAAAAGTATCCTCAGGTGAGGATTTAAAAAAACAAACCTCAGGAAAGGCTTCCCAAAGAGTGGTTTCTGGAGTGGACATAGCAGGGAGGGGGTGTCCACATTGCAGGCGGGAGGACCACGTCCCGGACGGTAGGCCGCATTGGGGAGGGAGGCGGCGTGGGCGGAGAGCCTGGAGCCTGGAAGGAAGGTGAGAGCTCTGCAGGAATGTCGGAGGGGATCTTCGGGGGCCTGTGGGGAGACGGGACTTACGAATGATTTCGAGTGGCGCCATTGGCAGCACCTGGAGTGCATGGTAAGGCGTCTGGCAGAACCACGGAGAAAGAAGTGAAACCTGATGTTTCTGGACGTGAGTGCTGCAGTGAGGTCTCGGGTGCAGAGCAGGGAGGCAGAACTATCTAGAAGAGACTAGTGAAAGGGACGCAGAGCGTAGGCAGGCACAATTTGGTCCTTGATAGCGGAGATTCTCGGCCTCTTTCCCTTGTTTTTTTTTTTTTATCCTCACCCGAGGACATTTTTGCATTTAACTTCAGATAGAGCAGGAGGGAGAGAGAAACATCGACGTGAGAGAGACACATTGAACGGGCTGCTACCCACATGACCCCAACCCGGGCTGGGGATAAACTGCAACTGAGGTATGTGTCCTTAGCAAGAACTGAACCCGGGTCTCTGGACCGCGGGCCAATGCTCTAACCGCTGAGCCAAACCGGCCAGGCCCTCTTTCCCTTTTATAGCATAGGTTGGGGTGGAATTATTTGAACTATTTACTCAAAGTGAACATGGTGGACAGCGCTCAACTCTTTTGATAAGCACTGTATTGAGAGAGGCTGCTGAACTTTAAGGGCAGAAAAAAAGTTAAAAATTTAAATGAGTAAAGAGCAAAGGAGATTAAAAGGACCCAAATGACCAGACTCTTCGTAGATAAGTCTGAGAAATGTTAGAGAAAATATTACCAACTTATCTCTGTCTCCCGGTGTCATTGTGAAACATGAGGGTTGGGCTAAAATTTCTGGGTCTCTTTCAATTCTGATTTTTTGGGGATTATAAAGTTATATAGGTCCTAAAGTCCAGATTGGAGAACATGTCAACGGTATGTGAAACGTTGAAAAACTAAGGATGATTTGAATGAAATGGCTTCAGGGAGAAGTATACAGACATTCAAAGTTAAACAAAAAAGATTAATCGTAGGGCAGCTGAGCAGTGGTTAAATGCGTGTGTGAGGTGTTTGTGAGTCATTAGGAACTTGGTATGAGGGAAGAGCAAATTGAGTAAATCAGAGGGAGAGGGGAGAAAGAAAGAAGCCTCGACCTGCTGCCCCCTCCCCGCACGACCCAGCCCGGGCCGGATACCAAATCATAACTGAGGCACGTGCCCTTGACTGGAATCGAACCCAAAACTCTCTGGTCTGCGGACCGACGCTCTAATCGCTGAGCCAGACCAGCCAGGGCTTTAATATGTTTTCATTGATTTTTTTTTTTTTTTTCCCAGAGAGAGGAAGGGAGAGAGAGATAGAAACATCTATGTGAGAGAAACATCAGTCGGCTGCCTCCTGCACGCCCCCTAGTGGGGATCAAGCCCACAACCCAGGCATGTGCCGTGACCTGGAATCGAACCAGGACTTCTCAGTCCATGGGACGACTCTCCCATCCACTGAGCCACACTGGCTGGACTGGGTTCTGACTTTTCATATAATCATTTACAATAGTATATAGAAACTGAAAGTTGTGTCAGTATGTAAAGGTCTCTGTAAACTTAATTCAGTAATATACTTGAATTTAGTTAAGTGTTCTAAATTAATCTCTTGAAAATGTGTGGTGCTGGTTATTACTTTGAAGTAAGACGGATATGTTATTTCTGACAGTTAATGAATCTTAATGTAATTTTGTTGGCATAATAGAAAAATTATGGACTCTGGAATTAAGACAGATTGTTTTTTAATCAACCTTAAGTTTTGTGACCATGAACAAGTCATCTGTTCTTCTATAAACTGGTGATAATGGTGACTGTTTATATAGGCTTGTAATTAAAATAATAACTGATATTTATTGGGCATTTACTATACACCAAACACTACATTTTTTAAATCCTCACCCGAGGATATTTTTCTATTTATCTTCAGACAGAGAGGGAGGGAGGGGGGGAGAGAGAGGGGGGGGGGGAACATCGATGTGAGAGGGACACCTTGATTGGTTGCCTCCCGCACGACCAAGGTCCAGGGCCCGAAACTGC